GACCAGCTCTGTGACCCCGTCGGAGGAGACCTAATGTCTGTGTATCGATTACGAAACTGAAAAAGCGATGAAAGTGCACAAGGGCTGTAGAGCCATAAACAGAACACTGTTGGTCCCTTAATACGAGGTAGAACATGTAGGCTTTGCGTAACAATTACTTAATGCACACCAGAGGGATCGTAACCGTTTACTGCCCTGAAATAATAATTTGTGAAAAATACGGCACAAGAATAAAATACTTGTAACAATTAGAACCGTTTTAGACAAAACTGACTTGTGTCGTTTGGGCCCCTAATTGCACGTAGTGTTATTCTTTTGAAGATACTACCTATGCAGTTTTATATTTACGCATATGATCTCCACATAAAATTTTATCAAAATTGTTAAGTTGTCTTCTAGAAAATCGCCATTTTGTGTCTTGTGATCTGTCTAAAAGTCTAGAAGCTAGAATGTTAGCATGCACCGGGTATCGAACTCTGATGAATATAAATCTTGCATATCGAATGTGAATAAATGTAAGATTTGAGGTTCTCACAGTGGTAGCTTGGATGGGTCCTATCTTCTGGGTTATCCCAGAGAGATAAAAAATCTGGAATATAATCCATTCAGTCGTTCGGCACAAGAGAAGCGCACATACATGCAGATAGAATAGGTAAAAAAAAAAGGTAAAGCTATCCCTGTAACAGGCCGTGGAGGCTTATAGGGCTGTGAGACGTGGAGGCGCCGGCCGTCCTTCCGCCCGCCCATCCTTTACCCTCCAGGAATATACCTGGTATTCATTTTTGTTAGAGGCTCAGTTGACCCCATGACCATAGTGCGGCTGGAAGAATTAGGTCAATTGAAAAATCCAGTGACCTCATCAGGAATTGAAGCCCCGACCTTCCGGCCTGTAGCATAGTGCCTCAACCAACTACGCTACCGCGTCAAGGTCTCGAGATTTTTTCATGATCCTTTTTCATGCGTCATATATGAGGGGAGGGGGAAAAGCGCAAAGACGTACATTTTTTTTAACTTTCTCATATATGACTGACCCAGACTACGTTACCCGCGAAACCAAATCAACTGCTGCAGGGCAGACTACTGTTCGGTACCGAATACCGAACAGCAGTCAAATCCGACCGACCGCAGAAAAAGACTCGACAAAATTGACTTTTCGCGATTGGGCCCCAAATACGCGTGCCGCTATTTTCCCGGAGATACCACCAGTGCAGTTTTATTTGGAGAGATGGTCTCCATAAATTAGCTACATTTAATAAAAATCTTTGGAATCATTTTGAGAAAAATCGCTATTTTGTTTTATGGGGCCCTTCTGAAAGCACATATTTTTAGGGCTAGAATGTTGATATCCCCCCAAAGGTCTATCAATCTTGTCGTGGTGGTGGGGCTTGCGTGACTCTATGACCTGGAGAGCTATGCCGGGGGTACTTTAACTACCAGTATGGTCACTCATGCCGGAAAGGTCAAAGGGTAGAGTCCAGACTAAGAGAGATACCCTGGTCCTCCAGGTTGGTGTTGGGCATGGGGATAAGGCTAACAACCTCATCCTGTAAAACTAATTTTGTTGAGAAACGTAACAACCAGCCTTGGGTCAACATGCGTGTGTCTATTCCTGTGACAGCACGCATTGGTTGTGGAGACTCTTTGTAGAGGAGGCCAAGGCTCACCCAGGGTTGTAGGTAGGTAGATAGGTGGGTGGGTGAGTAGAATGTTGATATTCACTGGGCACCACTGGCGTGTGTCGGATGAACTCTTTAAATACAGAATATGAATAAAAGCATCCAAACCTTCAGGCGCTACCGAGGAATGGATGCAGATATAGAGACGGCCTTCCAAAAACTGCCTTTCCATATTCTTTGGGGTTCAAAACGTGTAAGTCCATAAAATCTTGGTATATATTTTTCACAATCGCAATACTTTGGCAGATATGCTAGGAGTATCAGAAAGTAAACAGTGAAAAACACGTACACTTGGTAATGCCCCGCATTAGCCCCCATTTTTTAGTTTTTATTTTTTTAGTTTCTTGGGGTGGGGTGAGACTAAGTCCACTTGGTACGTCGGCCATTAACTGGCCTATTGTACCATCCTTGGACGATAGATGACGAGTGTGATGCTGTCGGTGGAATGAGAATTGGCAGAGGAAACCGAAGTACTCTCAGAAAACCTACCCCAGTGCCACTTTGTCAACCACAAATCCCGCATGACGTGACCTGGACTTGAATACAGGACGCCGCGGCGGGAAGCCGGCGACTAACCGTTAACCGTTTTTATTCATCTAAGTAGTAATTAAGACTTCAGTTCCTAACTTTCAGAAGGTACTGCGTCTCGGTTAAAAAGAAAAGTGGTTAGTGTTGTTTGGGGAAATAATGGATGTTTGTTTTTAAATCCATATGAAATTACTAGCTACAGTCTTTGTGCAAAATACAGAATTCTTCAGTGTTAAGAGAGGTGGCACATAGTACCAACTTTTGGTTTGAAAGGTTAACAGACGTGTGGAATATTAAGTTTAAACAAAACCAGTCTAACGATTCAAAACATACAGAATATCCACCCTTGTTATATTGTAGCAAAAACTGGGTTTGTTTTGTGGTTTATTTCTCGACGGCCTCAGCATCTCGGACTGTACAAGGACGAATGGTAGGTTGAATAGTGAATAATGAATTTGGCAAGAAGTTGGTGTAGCCTAATTCATGTATTTCCTTGGAATTTTCCGAAGGGGCTGTGGAAAAGCACAAAATACTGTCGGGATAGTATCCTGTCCCGAGTTTCGAATCGAGTACGCACGGAATTTAACTTTGGAGAACTACCACTATATCGGTCGGTTCGATGTAACCGGAATAATCAAAAGAATGGAAGTAGGTTAACAGTGGCAGGGCGTACCACTGATAAAAGAAAATTGACTCAGACACATTGCACGTAACGTTCTCATAAGCGACCGACCTTCACTATGTAACCTTGGAAATTAAATCGATTGTCATTCGGAAAAACATCGCTGGTCACCGATTGTGCAAGCCAGAGAACGTACGCATTGCGTAATCACGTAAGCCTCTAGTGCGCCTGCCGTTATTAAACAGAAGATACCGCCTATAGAGTTTTAGTAGGGCGATAGTGTTCATAAATTACTGGAATGTATTCAAAATTAGCCAGGTCTAAAGCAAGTACTGTCTTCGCTCGCTCGGAAGCCGAGGTCGTGACTTCGAATCGCACACAAGGCATGGATGTTGTGTTTATTCTGTTTGTGTTGTCTTGTGTTTAGGTACAGGCCTTGCGACGATCTTATCACTAGTTAATGGACTCATACCGGCTATAAAATGATCATGAAACTGAAAATCAGAGGCCAGGGCGCAAGGGAGCTGTAGCGCCGGTGAAAAAAGAATCGAAATCATAGAGTTTTCGAGAAAATCGCGAGTTTGTTTTCGGGGGCCAATCTGTAGGGGCCTTATGTTTGGAGCACAGACAGACAAGCGGCATTCCAAAATACACTTTTATTTTGGCAGAAGACATGAAAATCGCTCGAAATTTTAAAGTAGAAATTTTTACCATCGCAGTAATCATTCATACACACGTACTGCGTTTTCGTAATCGGGGATTTTTTTTTCACCACCACAGTACTCACATGGACTATGTATAGGAGAAAATAAAATGTAGTTCGAGGACATTGGCACTTATTGGCCTTGATACGCTATCTTGTAATCTATTGTTGCTACTTATTGTTCGTCGCTGAATATACAAGTTAGGGCGTGTATAGCGCAGTCGGTATACTTGTGGGCTTGACAACTGGTTTTAAGTAGGTGCTGGGTTAGAATCTCTGCCGGGGCATGGGTTATCCTAACTGTGTTTTTTAGTGTTTTTCCTCATTCCCTCCAGACATTCTGGGATATTTCCTCGATTAGACCACGACCGCTTCCTTACAAATCCTCTAGAACACGGTGTCGAGGGGAATATTTGGGCCGAAGAGAGATAAAATGACGGGAGGTTGGAGAAAACTGCATAATGAGGAGCTTCATAACTTGTACTCTTCGCCAAGTATAAGTAGAATGATCAAGTGAAGGAGGATGAAGTGGGCACGAATGAGGGTGAGGAGAAATGCATATATGATACTGGTGGGAAAGCCAGAGGGAAAGAGACCACTGGGAAGACCAAGCCGTATGTGGGTGGACAATATTAAAATGGATCTTAGAGAGATAGAATGGGATGGTATGAATTGGATTGATCTGGCTCAGGATAGGGACCAGTGGAAGGCTCTTGTGAACATGGTAATGAACCTTCGGGTTCCATAAATTCTGGGAAATTCTTGAATAGCTGCAGAATTGGCAACTCCTCAAGAAGGGCTCAGGTCCATGAGTAAGTAATATTCAATAGACAGTTGATTAATGCTGCCTAGGAAAATAATAGCTGTTTGTTCAAAAATTCGTACGAAACTCTTAAATATACTTCGTAGGTAAACAGAAAGGGCTTCAAATATTATAGCATGTGGTACACAAGGTAACCACTGTACTCTATAATGTTAGGTAATTTGAAATGATCTCTACCAAAGAATGACATGTTTGCAACTGAAAATCTGGCATTTCAACACTAAAGCCAGTAATTCTTAAAATCCATTCTTGTTATTGAAACTTGGAAGTAATTTTATCAACCGCCTCTCTGGTCTAGTGGTCAGAGTTCCTGCCTACAGATCCATAAGTCCCGGGTTCGATTCCCGGCGCTACCAGATTTTCGGAGAAGTAGTGGGTCTGGAACGGGGTTCACTCAGCCTCGTGAGGATAATTGAGGGTCTATTTCAAGGAAATAGCGGCTCCGATCTAGAAAACGGAGATTAACGGCCGTGGCGATCCGTTGCGCTGACCACGTGACACCCTGTATCCGCTAAAAGTTGGCACTAACTTCGTGGACAAGCGGCGGTCGGTCGGTCTCTACAGTTTGTTTGCGGACTACGGGCCTCGGTGTTTATTATTTATTTAAGACAGTCTGTAAGTTACTAATACTATTTCCTTTCATTATAGGGGACAAGACAACGTTCCCAGGACGTTCCTCACTGAAGACCAATAGAAGCGGAGGAAGAAGTGCCTGATATTGAATCCGTTGTTATTGGTGGGACTGACAACAAAACCATGGAGGAAGCTCAGAGGTTGTGAATTTTAGCCTCAACTGTACAGCCTGTAGATATTCATGTCTGTGTTATCGTCTTCTTGATGGGTTTCCCCCATTCGCATTTGTTTTCCTGTTCCGCCCAATGACTGAATCATATCAGTCCTTATTATCATTATCATTTTTATCTTCATTATCTTCATGAATGAGGTCGTTCTATTCCTGTTGCGGCTCCTAATTGAGCAAATTTTAACATTCAATTCAAGTTAAAAATTGACACTGGACACTGAAGCATTAGTATACAGTTCTCATTATATGAAGAAATGTTCCTTCCATCTTTTACTGTTAGAAGGATTTTTGGAGTCAATTATCTTCCATCTTTTATGTTTAACCATTTTGTATAGTAATATATTTTTGTAATAACATCTTTCGTGTGTCATCTTAATTTTGGTTTTAATCAGGCAGCATCCTACTGGCGCTGTCAAGAAGCTTAGTTGCATCTATTCTGTTCACTTATTTTTAGGTTGAAGTCCAGCATTCAGGTCCATAAAGTAAAGTATTTCCGTCATGTTATAAAATTGAAGTATATTCTTATTGTTCCCAAACATACTCCTTTGCGTGGTACTATACGTACTAAGATGAGTTTTATATTCATATTATAATTATTGGCTCCTATAAACAGGGAGGTTCTTACCTTTGTTGACTGATTCGGGGCTCTTGAATTGACTGCGTCCGGTGCATCACCGGCTGCGAGGTGCATAGGAATTTTGCCAATGAATGAGTATGCCTGAAAGCCAGTAACGTTTGGAATTAAAGGAAGTTATTAAGTTGTGAATCTCTTGACGGGGTCATGTTTTACGGCGATTAGCGCGGTTCAGGCGTCGGAATTTGTGTATGATTTATCAGCAAGGGGCGGCAGTTATCAGCTCCATTAGCCGTTTGTTCTCAGTTTCAGTTAGTGAGCACTGTGTTCCGTCATGGTTCGGTCCTGTAGAGAAACGTGTTTCTGCGTAACTCCAACGTGAAATACGATCAGCTAGAGAGTTTCGGCAAACATTTCGACGTAAATTTCGTGATGAAAGAGTTCCCAGCAGAGAGGCAATTCACAATTTGGTAAATAAACTTAGATCAGGGGGGACACTTAATAAACAGGAAACAAAATCGTAAGTGCCAAGTGCTTGATGAGGAAAAATGAAGTGAAATAAGAGCCAGGCTTCAACATGCGCCTAGAAAATCACTGAAACGTCTGGCCGAAGAGACTGGAATGTCAACGTCTAGTGCAAGAACAGCAACACAACTGCCGAAGCATATACCCTGTAAAACAATAATGCACGCAGCCTTACAGCCGCGCAATCCTGCTAGCAGGATTCATTTTTGCAGCCTTTTTCAGCAGTGTCGTCGAAGGTGATTTCGATCCACAGCTGACATTCTTTTCTGATGGAGCATGATTTCACTTACAGGGATGCATAAATTCGCAAAATAATCGCTACTGCAGTTCACAGAATCCACATCTAACCCACGAAGATCCGCTCCATCCAGTGGAAGTTGGTGCCTGGTGTGCTTTAAGTGCAAGAAGGATTGTTGCACCTGCGTTATTTTAACGAAGCAGTTAATTGCGATTGATATGTACAGGTCATTCTCGGGCAGTTCTTTTCAGAGTTAACAGAAGAAGAAAAATTCTATAGCTGGTTTCAGCAGGACTTAGCTACTGTCCACATAGCACATATGTCTACGCAAGCTTTGTCTGGTGTCTTTGGGGACAATTGTCAGCAGTGATATATGCCCAGAATGTTCACCCAAATTGAATCCTTATGATTCTTTCTCCTGGGGTTGTTTGAAGGACAAAGTTTGCAACAGTAACCCCTGAACAGAAGAAGAACTAAAAATATTCATAAGGAAATTGCACATTTTCCTGCAGAACAGTTTCAAAGGTTACATCAGAACCTCTTCCATCAGTGCATGGATTGTCAACGTGTAGAGGGACGACATTCAATACGTCCTGTGATCTGTGAATTGTAACTACTTCATTCCGAACGTTATCGGCCAAGAGGAATATTGATTCATTGGCAAAAGTCTTATGCACCTCGCAGCCGGTGGTGCGCTGGTCGCCTTGAAGCGCAGAGCCGTAAACCGGCCAACAAAGGCAAGACCCTCCTGTAGAATGTAAATAATTAAATTCAGTATTTATTCGTTTCTATTTATAGTAATCTGTATGTTTCCAATTTTCCTTTTACATTTTTCACTTGATGTCCAGTATAGTTGTTCTGTTCTCCCATTCTTTATATTTGTCCATGTTACTGCATAATTAAATTTTGTATTGTGTACAAAGTGTTTTTGTTTATATCCAATATTTCTCTGTTGCTGCTTATACCAAGTTCCATCTAGTCGAGGCATGTCAAACTCTTTACTGCGTAATAAGTTTCCGAGGCGGGCAGCAATTTCTTTTCTTGTAATCAGTGACCTGGACTGTTAACATTTACTGATAGGATAGAAGCAACGTACTGATAAAGAGCCTGAATTTATTTACAGTAACAATTACAGCATTTATAAATACGTATTTTAATGGTATTGACACCGAATATTAGGCCTGAGTTGTTAGCAGTTGTTTCATATTTACAGGGTCCTGGTTTCGAATCTTGGCCAGGAGGCAGGCTATCCTGACTGAGGGTTTTGTGGTTTTCCTTTGTCTCTCCAGCAAACGAGAAGTAGTTCCTTAAATCTGGCCACAGCCATCACTACCACATCGTTTCCAATTAGTTGTTGACTAATCACTCTACCATTTAATACTGAACTGTATAATCTGATACATTGAAAACATCATTAAATAAACCAAAAATAAATAAAATGGAACAAAACAAGACATTATTTTTGTTACATCAAGCTAAGACTGAAGAAAGTAAAAGCTGACATTTTAATTGCCTCATTTTTGTCAGTAAGAAAGATTTTTTTTCCGTAGACTTGATGTTCTTACTTGCATTCAGTGTACAGGTAATGTGATTCATTTCTTGTGCCTATATTCTTTCATTGATGACAAATGTGTGCCTGTTAACGCTTGATGTCTTGATATCCCTATTTCTTTTCGTGAATGAAAATGGTTGATTACACATATAAATAAGAAACCAAACTTTTGCCCATTATTTTAGTCATTGGCAGAAGTCGTGACAGTGAAATATGGTAAGGGGAGTCCCGAACGAACCAAGAAATTCCCTGCTGGCGAAGACCAGCAGTTTACCCGACTGACTGTATAATTTGGCATGCTAGCCTCGCTAAACTTCTGTTATATATTGAGTCCGACTGGATTTCAGGGAGTTACATTTTCAGATCCTTATCTGCTGTTTTGACATAAAAATGAAATGGCACAATTAACATAACAAATTTTACTTCATAGAGCTTTAAATCTTTAAACTTAACATATTCACAACGATCCAGTATTCTGTGAAGAATGCCATCTTCTTGGATATGGTGCTGTGTAGATGTGTGAACCGACGTCCTCCAAGACGTAGGTTCACACAGGCTCTATACGGCACCACATCCCAGACGACAACATTCATCATAGTAACCACTGTGAAAACCTCAAACCTACCAATATTTTATGTTTAGTTGTTGAAAATTGTATGTTACTCACTTAGGCTGAAGGATTTTGACATGTCAGAATGCACAAAACTGCTTCCCTTCAGCTGTTTCCCAGAGACAGGTTTTGTTTGATAAATATTTATATTGTCATACACAGGCGTTGTTTTGATTTTCTGTAGGGATGTATGTTCAGCTCATATGGGCTTCGTGTGATATCAGATGAGAAGGCCAAGTCTTGAACCCATTTAGTATTCAGTCTCAGTCAGATCTTGGTTTTCACTTCTGGGAATGTAATGATTTCATTTCTCAGGTCATAACAGCACATTGTTTTAAGACAAACAATAAATATCTGTGTGATATGTCAGGTCTTCATGTTCGCTTTAAATCTCATGGGGAGAAAAGCTGTCTGATTATGTAATCCTCAGGCATGTATAAATATGGTAATTGATACTGCCCATTATGAAATGTGGATTTATTGTAATATTTTATCTGATAATACTTCCATTGAAAATTATAAATTTTATTGCCAAATTCTTCATTCAGTTTCCTACAACACACTTCTTGGAACAGACCATTGCAGGAGAAACATTATATAATATGTTGTGGCATCATGTTGTTTGTGAAATACTCTTTTACTATTCTGCCACTACAATGTTTGTGTAGTTACACTATACGTCATGTATTAAATACTCTCTCCAACACACACAACACATAGTGCACATGCGCATTTATATTTCAGATCATACAGGAAACAAATTTGACAATGTTAACAAGAGCACATAGAACACCGCCTGAATTCAGCAAACCGAAACACAGAAGACATGTTATAATAAACCTCCAATGTTTTAATATTTTAATATGTAACATGTTAATATTTTACCTTTTACTAATTCTCTGTTGGCATCAATTTTGGCTTCCATCCTTGTCAGCAAATTCTTGGTTGGCTCTTGTTTTGGCATCCATTCAGACTAGCAGGGGTTCCAGCATCTGTTGCATCTTCATAATATGGCGATATAACTACACGATGTAATCTCAAATCCAGGGCCGCTCCATAGCTCAAGCGGTTAGTCACTGGCTTTCCCACCGTGGCGGCCCGCTTTTGATCCTGGGTCTGGTCAAGTGGGATTTGTGGTGGACAAAGTGGCGCTGGGGCAGGTTTTCTCTGAGCACTTCAGTTTCCTCTGCCAATCTTCATTCCACCAATTGCTCCACAATCACCCTCACCTATCATCTAGGGCAGGCATGTCAAACTCAACTTCTACAGAGGGCCACCTCAGCCCTATAAATAATAGTCCAGGGCCGCACTTCAAAATAGAAATATACATTAGACTATTTACTAGGAATAATTTCAATATAATTACCTAAAGTGGAACACTTATATTTTGCCCACAAATCAAACATGTAATTTTACCTTCTGTTTCACAACAGAAATATGCGATTTCCCATTTTCCTCGTAAAACACGGCGCTCACTTTCAGTACTTTTTTTGCTACTTGAATTTTTTGAAAGCGACATTGCCCTTTAAAAGTCACTGTACATACACAAGAAAACTCGTAGTTGATAATTTAATGTTTAATTATAACCTCTATAGGTTCATCACAATGTAACATCAGCACCTGTCGCTGTGTGAAAATGAACTGAATGACAATGTACAAGAGACAACCGGACTAGTAGGTCTTGTCTCAATGGTCATAAAAGTGAAAGTTTGCTAGCAGCCCATTAGACAATGGTTGGGGGTTGCAAGCTAGTTTTTATGGTAGAAATCCCCAGAAATCCCTCTGTCAATTGCCACCCCTCTTTCATTCTTACTATGCCTCCAAAAGGGATTCTTGGAAATTCTTGGGGTGGTGAGGCTGTGCGGATTTTAGTGCATTAACCTTCTGAAATACAATAGTTTGTCCTTCACGAACTTTACAAACCGTTAGTTGGACAAACCCTCCTGCAGTACTCAGAATCACTTTTCCTGCAGCCTGCTAATTTATGTCTGTGTGAGGCTTCTTGTCTTCTGGTCTGTTGGAAGATTGTCTTTACAAAATTATTTCTACTAAAATTTTAATATTGATTTTAATATCAATTAGCTCTAAAAGTTGAGGGGCCGCACTTTTGACACGGCTGATCTAGGGCTGGTACAATAGGCCAGAAGTGGCTGCAGTACAAGGGACTTAGTCCCACCCCACTAGCAATAAAAAAAATCTCATATCCAATAATTTGATCACTCTGATCCAATCCATGCCACAACTAACGCCAGTTGTCATGGTGTACATGACTAATTAGATTAATTAGATGAACGGGTTTATTTACTCCTTTACACACCACCAGTAATTACACGTAATTATAGCGCTGTTATTTCTACACGTTATAATTCATTGTTACACAAACACACACACACACACACACACACACACACACACATACATACATACATACATACATACATACATACATACATACTAATCGTCTCCTGGTAATGGAGTTAAAACACATGATCTGTGACAGTCTTACTGAATAACACAATCCATATACAGTATTTCACATAAGGTCTTCTCTTCACAGCCGCACTCTTGAAGCTAAATATTAAGTACACTTCACTGCACTAGTCTAATTCTAACTCTAAGTCTCTTTGCGGCTGGCGGTTTACCGCCAATCAGTTCATCTTTGTGCCAGGCCCCTAGTCTCCGTGGCCATGTCATTAGTTCTGAGAGGTGCAAAGAAGCTGCAAGTTATCACTGCTTTGCTAGGCAGCTTGCTTGTGTTGGATTTTGGGACTGATATACTCGACTTCATGGCACTCTGCGAGGTATCGTTAGAGATCTACCTCTTGTGTCACTTTACTGTCTGGAGGTCGTCATCATGGACCATTGATTCCAATGAGGTTTTGTTCGCTGTTCAACTTTGTCCTGCCTGTGCATTCACCTTCATTACATCCTTCAGTTCATTCAGTGTTAGTGTGTTTATGCTGTAGAGAGCGCTAAAAAGTCGCTCCCCTTCTACAATTTCGCAAAAGTTTGCTCTGTTTTCTTCCACACTACTCAAATAGTCATCCATTCTGAGCTTTCCCCCACTTTGTCCGGTGTGCATTGGGAAAGGGTTTCAGTGTTGCTGAGCACTTTATATACATGTACTACAGAAGCTGCTTCTGGGTACTTGTTCATTATGTCATGGCATTGAGATTTCAGCGGTGATAACTTATGTCTCCAGTATTTCCGGAATCCCGGTTCTGTGACGTCTGTCATCTTGGTGTACACTTAGATTCACCACTTATTTTGTTGTTTCACACAAACTGTGCACAACTGCGGCCGGGCGGCAATCTTCTCTGACTCACCTTCGCCAGATGGGAGTTGGCGTGACCACACTATGTAAAGTTAAATCCATGAAAACTACTCTGTCCAACACACGTTTCATTCAAATCACTAAATGTAATCAATATTGTGTGTTTCTGAAATACTCTTAAATGCCCACACTCCTGACACTAATCTAAGTCAAAGTCACATTGCTACTGACGGTCGCTCAGTCATTAAGTCAGATGGGCTCATGACCAGATACTTGTATTTATTACTGTTTGACAGTTACGGTCTTGTTTTTGTGAGGCGCCTTCTCTGATCAGATGATGGGTCTGTCTTTTGTATATGCTGCTGGTCCTTGCCAGCGCAGTCTTTCTCGGGTCTGAGTCCCTTGGGACACCTGACGATATTTTACTGTCTCAGATTCGAGATTTTTTTCTTTTCGTCGCCTCCTACGACTCACAGGGTCACAATGGAGTTATTCGACCCTCCCTCCACACGGGTAGTCAGTCAGTCGTTATATCAGATTCTCATTGTATAAGCTTCACACAGATCACACAGAAACCCCAAGTCACATCGTTGCTACCCAGTGAGTTCCTTGGCACGCTAATTGCTGCCTAGCATCGAGCTATAACATTCATCCACTGAAAGGCAGCTTCCATTGTTACAGGTTAGGACGTGTTTATGGAGCTGTTGCCTAGAAACCCTTTGATAAAATCTGTTGCTTCGACTTTATACACAATTTATGTAATGTGAAGTAGTTAATTAAATTTTATCACACTTTAGAACCTAGTCAATAGAAGAAGGGTGACAGCCACAGATTCAAGTGGTAACTCTCCACACAGATCTTCCTTGAGCTGCCACTGTATAAATCAGTGTAATGTTTGAAATTCTGGTATGTAACATATTGTTTTGTTGCAGGTTGGATGATGAACCCATGATTTCCAAAATGTATTCTGCATGTTCATTCCGAAGGCTTCAAGGTAAGTAGATCTCTATGCAGGACATATTAATGACAAATCAAGGACGTCCGCAGAAAAGAAAGACCAGGGAAAGGGCATGAGTACAATTGCATTATTTTTCAGATATTAGAAGTTATTGTACTTAAATTTTGTTTTGGTCTGACGGATTAGTCCGTGATTCCCTTAATTAGTCAATGCAGTAAGCTTGGCTCAGACTGAAAAGAAAACATTTTTATTTAGTGCTAGACCATAAATCCAGTGGGGAGGGCAAGAGCCTCCCTTTGTCCCTGCCTGCGGACGCCCATGAGCCAAATTATAAGGGAAGAAGAGATGTAGAAACGAATTCTCCCAACTTGTGATGGGAGGAAGCAGACAGTCCAGCTGACCATGTTCAAGAGATGCAGACGTCACATCTGCAGGCTCCCTGGTCATAAAGTTGAATCAAACAGAAAAAGTGAGTTATCTCAACATACATGTTATATACCTTGGCTACTGTCTTACATTGTTACATTCTGCGAGAAGTTGAGAAACTTGTTAACCCATTCTTTGCTGTCCCAGTGAATAAAGTGTTTTGTTAGAGAAATGTGAGACAAAACATATCCATAACTCTGTACATACTAAAATCTAGTGAAACTTGTATAACTTTCATCAGTTTCGAGAACGTTTAATATAACATTTCAAGATAGCTAATAGACATCTGTTTATTGCACTTACTACAAGATACCATCCTTGTTGTAGATAGGTTGTGTATCATAGATTGGTGTTAGATGTGTATAGATCATGAAAACTTATCCATGATTAAATACTTTTGAAATAGTTCTCTAATTTCTACAGATGTCTGAAACTTGTAGTTCAATGTTCAGTTGTGATCAAAAACTAACAAGTCTCTGATTTCTGAACATCTTTAATTCAGCACAGCTGGATCATGGCAGTTCTGTATTAACACATCATAGAGCAGTATGTGGGATAAACGTCTGTTTTGTTTTTGTAGATCTAGTGGAAAAATTTGCAAAAGCCAAGGTGTATACTTAGGAATACAGCAGTGGAGTTGCGATAATCTGAATAGGAATCTAAAATACACAACAAACGAATTACAAAGGGAAAGAAAGTAAAGCTCTGTTTAATGGAAATTTACAACTGATATAGTTTACTGCTGTAATCTGTACTGAGAGTTTGACATATTCTAACATCTTAAATTACAAAACACACAATTAAGTGATGTTATTTTATTCCTGCCATGCTTTATCATAAATGATTTGTTCAAATTATCGCAACGCCTCTTTAAGTGTTGTCTTTTCTTATAGAAGGAATCTATTTGTAAAAATGCCATTGAACAGATAGGTCTATCACGTTAGTGGTACATGTGAGAATTAACCCCTTGTATGGGTACTTTTAATTATATATCTTTATAATGGCTCCTCTGACTGTGTTTCTCATAGAAGGAATCTGTTTGTAAAAATGCCATTAAACAGATAGGTCTATCAGGTTAGTGGTACATGTGAGAATTAACCCCTTGTATAGGTACCTTTAATTATATATCTTTATAATGGCTCTTGTGACTACCTTTCTCATGGACTCTTAATGTAACCATTTTGGAAAAAAAGAATGTAAACAAGGAGAAATTATACATTGACCGTAAAAGGCGGCCATGAGTCAGCCACATTATGCAAATAAATGATGGGAGAAAATAGTATTACAGGGATACAGGAATACAGTTTCAGGTGAGACACATTATTCCAGAATATTGTGCCATTATCCATCATAAGTGTCACCTTACGTTTCCACACAAAGGGCTAATTAACTTGTACTCTTTATTGCTTTTAAGGTCAAAACTACAGGACATTTAAAAATTTGGACAAATGTTACGACACTGAAATAAGCCATAAGTTAGAGACAGTCATCTCCATGTTTGTGTCACACATTGGATCCCTGTATTCAGGTTATTTTAAAATAAAAAGAATTGTGAGATTGCACATAAATTTTGAAGGATTGCAGCAAAATATATTTCCTTGTAGTGCAGAGTTACCTCACAGTTCTTACTAGCCCATAAAAACTTTATAAACCTCACTAAAATATGTAAAGTGTGTAATTTAAACTTGCTAGTGCCAAATTCTGGTGTAGAAATTATGTGTAACTACATGATTTGGTGGTAGTAAGAGAACCAAACATGGTGTCTCACTTTCACTAAACACATGCACAAAAACAGTTGTGAGTCATGTAGTGTTTTCACTTCCCTTGTCAGATGGTCATGATATAAAGTTGAAAAATGCAATGGAGTTGGAGCTGCACAATGTGCACGGCTTTTTCCAAGCAAAATATTACAGCTTCTATTGAATGAAGGACAGAAAACGTATCTCTTCTATATTTCTCTAGAATTAGCAGTCTACAATACAGTACTGACCAGACTTAAGTATAACAGACTGGAGCTTTGTGCACTGTTTTCTTCACAGCCTGATATCATGATCTAGTAATTTTGTTTTGGAAGAACAAGCTATGAAGACATAGGGCATAGCCTACAAATAGGAAAGCCGTAAACAGTCTCTTACATATCTCTTCATATTGTGCCATATTTGCTCTATGCAGGAACTGTTGAGCCACAGAGGCCTCGGGGCAAGCACGCAACAGGAAAGTTGCATATTGTATCAACGTGTTGCTAGGTGACAGTTCTGTGAACGCTTGGATGGTGCAACAGGAAGTAGGGGTCATGGGACCTCTGCGTTTCTGCGAGTGACATCACAGAGCCCACCCAGCCTGTTGCTACGCAACGCTCAGTATGCACCCCTCCACACTAGGCTGTGTCATCACATAACTAGCTTTATATGGAGTCCCTGCTGTGACCATTGCTATTAAATCGCTCAGGAAACACGTTTCAACAATATAGGATCTTTTCTGCATGGTCAGTGTGGAAGCTATGTAATGACAGTTACAGACAAAACAGATGTCAGTATTTGAGAGTTGCAGAAGCAAGCAGAGTGAAAACAGGAATACAGAAGGTCCCCCTGTGAGGATGTCAAGTGGGATTTAGAAGATTTTGTGTGTGCGATGGTGCAGTGATACTGGAAGTGTAATTGGAAGAGCTTCTGTGTAATGTTTGGAGTGACGTGAAGTGGCAGTTTCTGTGTGTGTATCTAGCAGATGACTAGTGGAAGACAGAGCATTCTGGTGTGTGCACTGGTGAACCAGAAAGTGTGTAAATCACCAATAGCACTGTATTTGAGTGCAGTTAAGAGAGAGTGTGTATCCAAATGGTTAATAAACCCAATTATCACTCTGAGCAGTGTCTTCAGTAGCCAAACATGCTACATATTATGGATATAATTGAACAATCTGGTGTCTAACAGGATTTTTATGTAAGGTGTAACAAGTGGCAAGAATTTTATAGCAAAATCACATGTGTTAATGTAGATGGAGACTAAAACGAATTAAATGAAAATGTAGTGGAGGCTGTCCAGAATTTTAACTTGTACTTATCTCGTTGAAGTTACTGATTTTCATCTGTCTTTCAGTTAGTGCAGTGAACTTGACAAGAGGTATTATATTTGACTTGCCTCAACATCACTAATATGTATAAGTGTGGTACTTTTATTTAACAGATGATTTTATATACTTTTATATAGGTGCAAAGTGTTTGCTTTTAATATTGAATACTTTAAAGATGAATTTGGCCTACAAGATGTAAATCTGTGTAACAGCCTTTACAAAACTACTCTCTCTGTACAGTTCTGATAGTTTTCTTTTAACTTTTTTTTTTTCTGTGTGTGTGCACGCATGCGTGTAATTTCAACCTGAAGATGGTCCTATAGGATCAAAACTTGTTGTGGAACTGATTGTATCTTATTGAATGGAAACGTTTGTATGACAGTATGCTGTGATCATTATTTTGTAAGTTCTTGAAAATTCCTTAAAGTATTTGATTATGTGGAATCGAATAAAGTCAGGTGTTCAGTTGTTATAGTTATTGCTCTCTTAATCAGCAGATATTTGTTTTCAGATACAAATTGGTTAAAAGCATGATTTATGAGGGAATTTAAACTTGTAAGCCCTCCATGCCTCTAAATATGGCCTTTAGTTCTGTAGTTATTCAAATCACATCAGAGTAGTGCGGGCTATTAAAGAAGATACTTGAAATTGCAACAGTTATTGGCCCTTCTTGACCACAAAGTTTTAGAATTTGAGATCAGTCCTGCTTCTCAGTGTTTAGGTGGAACATCTGAGTGATCCTGGTTGGAATTTTCTAACATGACAGCTTAGGTGATATAATAATATTTTAGTCTCATGTGTAGAAAAACATTTTGTATGGCAATTAAAGGTATATAAATGCTTATCAGTTGCTGCAGATGTTATCAATATATGAGGGAGGTGAGGGAATTATTATGTACAGTGAGCTGAACAAAATTGAGGATAAAGTAGACATAACCTATTTGAAAGCGGCCTCCGTAGTCTAGAGGTAACGTTCCCACCTCATAACTCGTGGTACGTGGGTTCAAATACCTGGCGGAGGTCGTCGAATTTTTAAGGGCGGAAAAATTCAGGGAACAAGTCCTCCGGGAGGGTCTTTAAGCTGTGTGTCCCGTGTCATAACTTTACGGCACGTAAAAGAACCTCATATCCCCAAAGGGGATCACTGAGCCAAATTCCAGGATGTTTCCCGCCCAACAATAGCCTCTAAGGCCTCCGATAGATGGGGGAAGCATTATAGACACCGCTAAGCAAGTGGGCGAACTCGCTTGCTCGGCAGGACTGATGGTACGCACCATTTATCGGTAGGGTAAAGAGACTGGTAGAATATCATAGAGGGAAGCACAATAGATCAAACTGGTCGCGGTGCATGGGGAAACCCACCCTCTCTAACTAACTAACTAACTAACTAACTAACTAGCCTATTTGAAGGTAATATCCTAGCACTTGTATGGAAAGACTGAGCCTTAGTCATTGTAACAGTTTTATCCAAGCTTCATCCAAGACTTGAAACAGGTGCCTCATGGATACAAGTTTGAGGCAACCTGTCGAGTGCAATGTTGAATTATAATTCAATACTAGAAGTTCAAAAATACAGTTTATTAATTTGCTTTTTATTATGGTATTTATGCTATAATCACATGAATTAGTTGAGGGTTTTACAAAGCACAACCTTTGTATGTTTTCAGAGCCTGTCATATCTTCTTTCTTCCTGTGGGTCAGTACATCATAATTTTCTGGTATTTCCTCAGAGGTTTTTCCTTCAACATGACCATTCACATTTCCTCTCTAGTGTTGTATAAAATGTATTGTTCATGAGATTTGTGTTTCTGTAAGAGTGTTGGTTATTTAATTTAATGTCTCAGTATTGAGACCGTGTAAAATAGGGTGCGTGATAAGAGTGATTAATGAATGTGGAACAGTTGGATGGAATGGGAATTGGCAGGATAAACAAAAGTATACTGTGATTTTGTAGGTTATGGCAGAGTGTAATATCATAACAAGCTCTCATATTTTTCTGAGTATTGCAACTTTTTCTTTTTTACCCCATTCTTCATTATGTTGAATAAGCTGTTTTCTCAAAAGGTAGCTGAAGGAAGTATGTTATCACCTTTATAGAGATTGTAATGTGTTGTACCAATTTACAATGTATTTTTATTACTTTTTAAGGAAGACCTGCAGAGTACATATTCTTATGAAAGTTTTTACTTATTTTGATGTCCTGTTACTGTGGCATGATGTAATTGAACACTCTGTATATGTGATCAGCAAAGTCCGTCTGCCCCACCTAGCTTCTCCCAAATAGCATGTAATGAAAGAAAATTAATACAGAAAAAGTATGTTGTTCTGGGAGAGACAATCCCAGGAATATTGTTCGTTTTGCTGCTACATGCATGTGTTCAAGTCCAAGCCAACGTATTGCCCCATTACTGCTTTCATAACAAAGGAACTGGAATTTTAAGAAATATTTCATTACTACAGAAAAGGGGAAAGCCCAGACAATCATCAGCTGTTCCTAGGATAAGGGGGAACCCACATTACCTTCTGCTGTTACTGGGAAACTTTGGAAAACCCAAACTAACTTTTACAGTTTCTAGGAGATAAGAGAAAACCCAACCTATCTTCTGCTGTTGCAACCCCAAACTGTTGTCTACCAGTATTAGAATACAGGGGAAAATCCAGACTACCACCTACCATTGGCAGATAAGGGAGATGAATTATAATAGGGTGAACATATAAATGGGATTGGAAAGGCGTACAGGAGAAAAGATGGAGGGAGACAAAGGTTCAAAATGAAGAACAGAAGTGAGGGAGGTGATTCAGTGTGGACAGTGAGAGGAGGAAGGGAGTAATGATAGGATGCACAGGAGATGGAAAATGATTATTCCACATTAAATTTAATGGGGAATATTGTAAGTAGCTGCCCCAAACAACAAAAATAGATTATGAAACTGCAGTGTGGATTTTTCTATATGGAAACGCTAGTATTATAGCAATTATTTTCAAGTAAATGTAATGGAACTGGTTAGTTGGAGATGGGGGCATGTCCAGTGACTGAAAGACTGATTGTGTATGTTTCCTTTCCCAACTAAACTATCCAGTTGTGGTGTTGGAGCAATGTAAATTTGAAGTTACTCTGTGTTTCAGACATGGTGCCTGCAAGAGCTGTGCTCTACTTCCTTTCCTTCTCGGGATTCCTTGTCAGCTTCATGATGCGTACAGATATCAACATTGCAATGATAGCCATGGCACGGCTACCGCCCCCTTCACCTTATGCAGCTAATGCTAGTAGTACACCCATGTACTGCTATGACCCCGCTAACATGACAGATGAACTTGCTGCAGACAATATAACTAAGGTTGTATGACATCCATATCTTTATGATATTCTGGAATCCTATGAAAATGGTTCTTGGCATCCTTATATTTTCTTTGTAAATTAAGTTGGCAGTACTGAGATGTGACAGGATGGGGGGAAGGACATAAAATTTAATTTTTGGCAAAAAGTAATTCCAGTATGCCTAGAATTAACTGAAATTAAGGTGATAAGATTTGAGGTTCTCATGGCAGTTTCAATAACATTACAGTCTTCTTGGATGTGACACCATGTAGTATGGTAGATAGGTGACAACATTTCAGGAAACAAATAAAATAGAAGTCAATTCTGAAACGAGAATATACTTCAGATTGACATGGCAGAGGCTCTACTATTGCTGCAACAAAAGAAATAGAACTTACAGTTTACAGTTTGAGCCAAAATTGCAGTACTAAAACTCTCGCATCTCAAATGCGCATTTGCATTTATCGACGGGGCATAGCTCCAGCAACACATGTTCCCAGTAGTGAAAAGGAAGTTGTATTGTACAGTTGTTGGAAATGGGTCTGTCGATGGAGGAAAAGGAATTCATAGTTGAGTATTATTTCCGTTTATACGGAAGTGGTCACCAGACAACTTGCATCCTTGGTTTTGAGCGGCCAGATGTTATCGTCCAGAAACTGCTACATAGTGCATGTGTGACGATATGGTGTGCCATCTCAGCACATTGTATATTAGGCCCCTATTTCATTGAGGATGAGGAAGGCAATGCTCTTACCGTCACCCAAGAATGCTACAGGGACATGGTGATCGGGACCATTTCTTCAGGATATGAGAGGGTTCTGTCGTGCAAGGGGCATTCACATGGATAGACAGTGATATCAACAGGACGTCTTTTCATTTCAGTACTGTATATTTTGGCACATACTGTATTTTAATATTTCATTATCAAGTGATTATTTCTACGTTTCAGAAACATGACATTCAGAATAAAATGCTGTTATGGTCACTACAATAATTGCAACTCATTTTTATTATATGCACATTTTATCTTTTATCTCATTTTACTTTCACTTTTTTTATTCTTACCTCTTCACTCTTTAACTCTTGGCCTCATGTAATTATTTCTAAACAATATTAAACAAGTTTAACTTTATTCATTCTGGTCTGTAACACTAGTTAATTATTATAAAATGATTGACAATACTGTCCAGTGTGACTCAGTATATACACATATTTATATAGTGCCTTTACATGTTTCGGCCAGTTGTGACCATCTTCAGAAGGCATTAACAGCATACTAAAGAACTACTATGACATAGATTTTAATACATATGCTTAAACTTCCGTATAAATATTTTTCTAATTAATAAAGTTTAAAGGTGTTTAAATTAATTTATTATTAATATTCTCAATATTTAAAATTTTGGACCATTTAGGTTTGTGTCTCCATGCCTCTTCTGTCAAAACAGGAAATGGGGTGTTATTTGTCGTCCTCAGAAGTCCAGGCATAAAGTTTAATAAAGAAGAATCAGCCTTTGCCCAACACATATTAGACAAAGGTCACCAATACGGGCCTATGGAACAAATTATGAAATTTATCAAATGCAAGAGAAAGGGTAACATAATGAATATAAAACAACTCAGGGAACTAATAGAAGAACAAAAGAGCACAAAAGAGAATGATAACCAGAATAGTAGGTTTTACATAGCTTTAAGACGTGGGTACAGTGAGCTCTTCTGTCAGTTTATTAAATTGATAAATGTGGAACCACATGAATATAAAAGAAAACTCCCACATTTATCACTTTGATAAACTAAATAAATTGATAGAAGAGCAAAAACTTACAAAAGAGAGCAATAATCAGAATATGATGTTCAACATCATAATAAAACATCAGTACATGCCTACACAAATGTCATGAGGCACAAGGGGTATTATAAATACATGACTCAACACACGTTAAAACAGTACGACAACACGGCGTGGCATGAACAATTGGACGGCACTAAAGGTAGGATTAAAAAAAAAAAAGTCTCATTCAAATAAAATCAGGGTTATAGAAATATTACATAATACCCGTAATATATTTACACAGTCCTGTTCTTCAAACAACAGAACCATGACATGGCATTAAAGAGAAGAAGTAAAAAGGACAAAAGCAAATTGGTTTTAGATTTTAACAAAAAGTTTTTTAAACAGTACCTTGTAAAGAGACTAATTATAATAATTGGTAAATGTTTTAACAAAGCCATGTACATTGTAGTAATTGTTACAGAACAATATTTTATATCTATGACACTGAAATAATTTCAGTAAGTACTGATAATGACCAGTGACATTGTACTAGTAGTTCCCTATATAATGAGAATGTCCTTCTGAAGATGGTCACTATGACTGAAACATGTAAAGGATGAAAGATTAAAGAAACACAACATTTATCAGACACACTGGATGGCATTACTAATCTTTTATACTATTGCTGGTGTGATGGACCAGGATGAACCAAGTCAAATTTATGTAACAGTAGTTCCTTAACGTACATACATACATACATACATACATACATTTCATTTCATTTCATTTCATAAGTCCAAAACAAATGGACATGAAGGTCGTCATATCAAAAAAAAAAAAAATTTAAACAAACAAATAACAAAATAATTAAAACTAATTGTTTATGTTATGCTCCACATATCCAGAAACTGTATAAAAGGAATTATTCATAAGATATAAAGACAGCTTATTTTTAAAACTAATTCTATCCTCTTTAAGGCTTTGAATGGTTATGGGCATGTTATGTACTTTCTGAAAAGTAGAAAGATTTGAGTTTGGCAAATATAATTGCTTTCAATTTCTTGTATTCAAACTGTGAACATCTAAACCTGAACAAAATTTAGTTTGATTATCAATCACAAACATATGGACCACTGAGGTCTAAGTGCAAGGGCCGAGTAGGCCTACCCCTTCATACATACAATACAATACAATCACAAACATCATCAACGAGAGAATGTATTCACATGACAATGCCAGTATATTCAAGTTCTTAAAAAGATCCCTACATGAGTCTCTAGGTCCCACTCAAGATATAATCCTTATTACTTTTTTTGTAATTTAAAAACTCTAACATTATTCGTTGAGTTGCCACAGAAAATTATTGCATACTTAAGAATAGAGTGGAAATAAGAAAAACACCATTCGTAAAATGTTTTTACTCATAAAATAAGATAAACTCCTAATTACAAAAATAGCTGAACTAAGTTTAGGGAGAATATACTCTACATGACTCTTCCAATCCAAATTCTTGTCAATTTGCAGACCCAAAAATTTTATCACAGGAACTTCATAAACAAATTCCTGCTAGCAACTGCCATAGAGTTATAAGACTGTTTTAGAGCAAATCTGATAATATTAGTTTTAGTGATATTTAAGGCCAACTTATTAGCTGTGAACCAACATGTTGTTATTGCCTTCTGAAGATGGTCACAACTGACCGAAACATGTAAAGGCACTATATAAATATATACTGAGTCACACTGGATGGTGTTGTCAAATAATTTTATAAAAATATTAAACTGGTATAAAGTGCAAACATGTGAAGAATTTTGCTTATGAATGTAATGGAAACTTGCTGAAAAATAAAACTGGATCCATGTTTCAATAAGGCAAAAATTGGGACAGTTCAATAAGTACAGTGTTTGATGCTGTACCACCTGAGGATGACTGATAGGGTTGAAACATGTGGTGATTGTTAATAAAAATATTAGATACCCATAGAGCTGTAGCCAGACATGTTGGCGAATTATTACCAAGATGTGCTTATATTTAAGAGTTGCTTGAAATTTTTGTATTTGCAATAAATTTCTAACACTGTGTATAAGACTGCAACAGTTTGTCACTCTGAACTGTTCAGTGATTCAGACTAGTCCTAACTGAAATGTTGAACTGAAAATAGGTATAATTGCATCAATACTCATTCTCATGTTTATGTTATGACAAAAGTTCAGTTGAAAAAGTAATCGCTGCTCATGAGTCTCAAGCAGCTTGACGCCAAGATGAAATGATTGGCGGTAAACCGCCAATTGTAAAGTAACTTTTATTTTGAGCAGTTCAGTTGAGTGAAATGAAGTGAAGTGAAGTACTTGGCTGGTGAGTGGGAGAGTTCAGTTGCAAGATATTCGCCGGACAGTAATGACGTGAGCATGGGAAGCTGAAGAAACTCCACTGTTAGATGCCGTTCCTAGAGAATGGCTGTTGGAGACACTGCAGGCTAGAAAAGGCATAGTGGGCACTGTGGTGATTTGTGAAGTGTGGAGATCGTCAGTAGCACTGTAGTTGCTTGTAGTTCCAAGTGGTGTGTCTTAAGTGGTCTTAAATCCATTCACCAATTTATACCCTGTCTGTAGTTACCCCTAAAATGTGGAAATATTCTCTATAATGTCTGTAGTATTATTAGGTGCAAAAAAACTCGTCACTTCTTGTGCTTTTTATGTTGTATAATTTGTATTCCATTGTGGAATATAATTTTGTGTTAAATTTTGCAGGAGGAAGGCGAGTTCGATTGGGATGCAACCACACAATCAACCATCTTGGGATCATTTTACTGGTGCTACATTCTTTCACAAGTAGTTGGAGGTATACTGACGCAGCATTTTGGTACCAAGACAGTGTTTGGTTTCTCTCAGTTCATCACGGCCATATGCTCACTGCTTATTCCCACAGCAGCACCTCTGCACTATGGTGCTGTTATTGCATTACGTTCCATTCAGGGTATTGCATCGGTGAGTTGTTGTGAATGTTCCAGTATTAGCCTGTGTTATGCCACAGTACTTTAACCTGGAGCTGTTTACTAATTTAAACATAATTAATCTTCTTGTAGGAAATTGTGACGAGAAGAAAGAAGCATACCAATTAAAAAACATTCCAACATGTACTATCATCAGCTGACATTTCATCCATTGACAGAGTTTCATTGTTTTTGTCCTCCCTTAAGTCATACTCTTGTATTTGTATCTACTCCTTCCCACTTCTCATTTGTATATCTTCTGTCACTTGGCGTCACCACCTTGTACATGGTCACTCCTGTGACCATTTATTCAGCTGTTTCATAATTGAAACTCCTGGCCAACAAGCCATGTCCATTCCTCTGCATGCTTAATTTCATCTGTTGTTATAGCTTTTGTTCATCTGAAGCCTGAGATTTATATTTAAAAGTTCATTTCCTTCCTCACAGAAAACACACTGCATCTCTGTTACAAGGATCAGCTAGTTAATGGAAATAATCGCTGTTTATTCAAAGAATCATATAAAACATGTGCAGTCAATGGGCAGGGGGCACGCGGTAGCATAGTTGGTTGAGGCACTATGCTACAGGCTGGAAGGTCGCAGATTCAAGTCCCGATGAGGTCATTTAATTTTTTTCAATTGACCTAATACTTCCCGCCAGACTATGGCCCTGGGGTTGACTCAGCCTCTAACAGAAATGAGTACCAGGAATTAATTAAATAATTTTCCTGGGGAGTAAAGCGAGGCGGGCGCGTAAGGCTGACAACCTTACCGCCATCTTTGAGCCGATTGTCTAGATAATGTGCTTTAAAAGCTTAATGTTATGGTTCAAAATCTTATCACTCGTTCATTTTTTAATGCTTTATGCAAATAAAAATGTAATTGCATACTTTTCTTGTGTTTTTGAGTAACAGTAATGAATAAATATTCAACATTTGATTAAAGAGCTCCAGTTTGGCTACTAAACCAATATCCATCATCATCACTTTTGAGTTTACAGTAGTTTACAATATATGCTGATATGTGATGGTACATCTTTTCACACCAGTTCCCCTTCCATTTTACAATACTGGAAAAGAAGGCAGAGATTACAAAATTTCTTGGGTAAGAGGCCAGAATAACTGTGTCCAAGAATTAATCCTTCCCTATCCTCTGTTGAAGGCTTCCAGCATCAGAATTTACTTTACAGGTCTACTGTCATAAGCTTTTCTTCACTAATGTTAAGAATTTATCACCACATTATGATCGTGTGCCAAGTATTATGTCTTTGTACTTTACGATCTTTGACATGTCTTCTGGTAGCTTTTCTTAAATTTTTGTACACTGTAATATGTAACTGATAGGTATGAGTTTGTGAATAAAGAGGATTAGAAAGGGTTAAATAACATCGATGAAGATTTATAATAAACTAGATTGCTAGACTGCTAAAGACAGGAATTGCACAACCTTGGAGGGACATTCTCCAGTTTTTTACGCTTGTTTGCATATCGTGATTGACGGTGATTATTTCTTTCCCACTTGTAGCCATTCATTAAATAATACAGAATAATCCAGCTGTATGGTTAGGAAAAAATAATTAATTTTATATAAATTAAATTATCTAAAAATTGATTTGAAGAACATTAAGGGAGGTGGACAAATATGAGACTGAATTTAAACAAGAGAATAGTATTAAGGTAGACCCTGGAGAAATAGATTGTTAAGATGTGAACAGGACTGAAATGGTTGAGGATAGGGTCATTTCATTTTCATTTCATTTATTTACATGTCAAAAATCCTTTACAAGGTCGTAAGACTCAGGATATAGACAATAGTCCAATATAACAATTAAATATAATAATTACAAAAAATATAATACATGTTAAAATATTTATGCAAACACAATTTTAAAATTATAAAACTTGTAATTTAACTTTTCACCAATTAAGTATTTAATCCCAATAAAATCAATTATCAATCTTCTTAACCGTGTAATCAAAAATTTCATCAATACCATAAAATGAATGTAAATGGAGAAATTGTAATAGTTCTTTCTTGAATCGATTTTTGTTTTTGGATAACTGTTTTATTTTGCGTGGAAGACTATTATAAATTTTGATTCCAAAATACTGTGGACCTTTCTGAAATGCTGTTAGATTTGATGAGGGGAGATGCAAATTTGAACTATTTCTTGTTGCAGTTGTATATATATCTGAATTTTCTACAAATAAATCCATATTATTAACTACAAACATCATCAAAGAATATATATATTGAGAAGGCAGTGGTAATATTTTCAATTGTCTAAAGATTTTTTTACATGAATCTCTGTGGACTTCTTTGGACAGAGCTCTGTACCTCTGGATTCCATAATGGGACTTCCTGGTTTTCTTAAATTGCTCTGAAACTATTCAGAGTAGGCTCTGTATTATGGAATTATAAAAGACTAGATAATAAAGCTGTATTTAGATTATGCATGGTTAAAACAAATGGTGTATTAACATTTGCAGGGTTTAACATGGCCGGCTATGTATGCAATGGTTGGCCACTGGATACCAGCTATTGAGAGGAGTCGCTTTATGTCTTCTTTCCAAGGTAAAATTAAACTGGAAATATATAACTTTAATACAAGTTTCGATGTTTCACAGCAGTGAAAATGTTTTGAGTGGGCCATAAAGGTTGTAACACCATGTCCTATGAATGGGCCACCAACATGTCAAAGGAACATGCTGCCTCACCTTCATCTGAGAGCACTGTTATTCACTTGCAAGACAACATGGTATCACAACTCAGAAGAAAACAGTCTGATTTTTCTGTTATGGAGTTAGTGACAGGTACAGTTAGTTTTGCAGGCAGTATGTTTATGTACCGATGGTTGCATTGTTGGTAGTCCTGACTAGATGTGGAAGCACCTGATTCTTCAGCCTGAGTTTGTTCTCACAAAATCGCACTGGGAGAATCAAATGTGACATATGATACAAAATTGATTTTTTGTATGATTTTCCTTTTTCACCAGTTACACTATTACAGTCTAGTTTGTCTCATCAGAATGTATATAAATAAAATTCTGTTAGAATAGTTCATCATCAGAAAAGGTCACCACAATGGTAACATACCTGATTTCCATTGAGGAAGTTCTCATTTGCAGTCCTGCCCTTGAATGAACTATTATGGTTAGTATTTTCTTTCTCAGTTCCTTCATGAAACTGCAGTGATAGCATCTTAAAATATGACATAATCACTTCCTCCCAATAAGAGCCAGTACATTATCTTATATAATGCTGTAGAATTTCAGCAGTAGACAACAGAAGAACCAACTGTACTCAATGTGTAGAACAGGTACTTTGATAGAACTTATTTGGGGAGGGTTGGGGTGGCAGAACATAAAAATTCTGCAATCAAGATTTCTTGGATTATTTTCCATGCTTGTAACTTGTTTGTATATAACAGGTTTCAGTTTTGGAATTGGTCTTACATATCCACTCTGTGGGTTCCTGATTGCACACTTTGGATGGCGAGTTGTGTTCTATGTGACTGGCAGTGTGGGTATTCTGTGGTGTTTAATATGGTGGTTGCTTGCATTCGATACACCAGCTCAGCACCCTCGTATTACACCTAGTGAACGACGATACATCGAAAGCAACGTTGGAAATACAGTCGTAGGTGAAAAGGTAAGTAACCCTTGTTTAATTCCCAGAACATAATGATACCTGTTGAACAAATGCATGTAATATAATATAAACGTAACTTTTTAATCTAATTCTCTTATAGTGATTTCAGGTCTCAATAAAAAATGGTTGTGTCATGTTACAGTTGTGTCTGTTGACCCAAAACAATACCTTTTCACTTCTATACCTTTTTCATACCTTCTTTATAATTTTTGTGAATCATAATGTAAGAATATGATACTTTCCTAGTGAATAGTTTTATTCTCATGATGACAATGAGTATGTAAACGTTGCATGTTTTACAGTAACCACTGCAATAAGTGGGATTTGCATGTGATGTAATTGCAAAGTCCCTTTGTCCATTTGTCTGTCCAACCCAGCCTGCTTCTCCCAAATGGCACAGAAGACAGAATTCCTTATAGTCACCACTTAGAACCTCAAGTCCAACATACTGCATTTACATTTTACAAAATATGTTCTGTAGAAGTCTAAGATACCATAATTAAATGCTCACCTCCTATTTATGTACAGACTTTTCCAAAGTTGTCTCTTGCAAAATAATATATGTAACCTTGAATGGATGAAAGAGCAGTTGAAGTGGGTGGGTGAATGAATGAGTGAATGACTGAATTAATTAATTAATTCACACTGAATTGAGATAACTGAAACTATGAAGTAATACGTATGTGAAGAATTGAAATTTCGATTTCCTTCTGGGCAGCGAAAATTCTTACCCACCCCTCCTCTAAATAATCACATACACTATAAAGAGAAGAATGTTTAATTAAACCAGTGGTACATGCAACTATTAACATTAAACTGGAACCAGTTAAGATGGGTGACAACTATTTTCAGGACACTGTCACCTGAAAGTACACCTTTATAGATCTGGACTAACCTACAATCCCATATGTGTAAGGTTCCGCCTGAACAAAGTTGAAGCAACCTCACATACCCTGGTTACTGAACACAGAAGAAGCAACCTCACATCCTATGTGATTGTGAGGCTATGCTTCACTTAAGATTTTGTCACTTGGAGCGTTACTTCAGAGAACCACATGAGTACACAGACAATGCTTTAAATAAGGCACTGCACTTCATTTGAAGTATGGGATTGTTGGGGGAGCTACACTGGAGTATGCCGCACCAGCCCATGCATCATAACCATTTGTTGATCTGTTGTGTGCTCCCTCCAGTGTAGCTCCCCCAATAATCCCATACTTCAAATGAAGTGCAGTGCCTTATTTAAAGCATTGTCTGTGTACTCATGTGGTTCTCTGAAGTAACGCTCCAAGTGACAAAATCTTAAGTGAAGCATAGCCTCACAATCACATAGGATGTGAGGTTGCTTCTTCTGTGTTCAGTAACCAGGGTATGTGAAGTTGCTTCAACTTTGTTCAGGTGGAACCTTACACATATGGGATTGTAGGTTAGTCCAGATCTATAAAGGTGTACTTTCAGGTGACAGTGTCCTGAAAATAGTTGTCACCCATCTTAACTGGTTCTAGTTTAATGTTAATAGTTGCATGTACCACTGGTTTAATTAAACATTCTTCTCTTTATAGTGTATGTGATTATTTAGAGTAGGGGTGGGTAAGAATTTTCACTGCCCAGAAGGAAATCAAAATTTCAATTCTTCACATATGTATTACTTCATAGTTTCAGTTATCTCAATTCAGTGTGAACCAGATACCTTTTGTGTACATTTGATGATTCATTTAGTGAAGTATTTTCATTTTTTTTTTTCTGATATAGTTGAATTTACATGACCATTTTACATAAGCTTATATAGTGAGTATGCTAATCAGAAATTGTTTCCCTTTCCATCCTTTTATCACTTCTTATCCTGTTCCAACTCTCCTGCTATTTAATTTCTGCCTGAAGTTCTGTGCATTGTTACATTGAGTTTTCCTTCTGTTTCTTACTTACTTGTGTATGTTAATTTTTTATTAGTTTGAACTTTGTTTTCTTTGCCCCGTTCGTCCCGGAATGTGTTTCTGTTGTTACAGGGTTTGGTAGTTCCATGGCATTCCATTTTGACGTCACTACCAGCCTGGTCAATTGGCATCACAACATTTGGACGCATTTGGATTCATTATACTTTCATCATTCCTGGGCCCATGTACATGAAGACTGTTCTTGGCTTCAGTATTCAAAAGGTATTAAAAAGTGAAACAGTTATTCACTTTCAGGTAGTAGAACCCAAAGGTTTAGTACCACTAAATACCAAAGCTCATCACTGGACATGATCCTGAACTAGTGGCTGGGAAGTGGCTACCTCCCAGCCATACAACTTAAGAGCGGCCTTAATTCAATCTCTCTTCTCTTCCTTGATCTTCCAATTTGTTGTTTTTAGCCAGTATTCTGTATGTATTGTGGGGTTTTATGTCTTTGTTGTTCGTCATTACTCCGATGACAACCCACTTCTTCGGAACAGTTTGTTGGTCCTGAAAAGGACCGTGGTTGCTGAGATGTTTGATCGGTGAGGTAGTGCGGTGGGTGCCGGTAGGAAGAGAGGTTAGTTGCGGTGATTTGACTGGCCACAGCGCGGCCGTTGCTGGAGGTTGCTTGGTCGCCATGCAGCAGCTGAGTTGAAGTTGCGTGGTCGCGCAGCGCGGTTGTAGGAGTGATGAGGCAGTGGCTACGCCAGATGCCCAGTGGGTCGGACAGGGACATGACCACCGGCGAGTCCAGGTGAGGTGTTCCAGTGTGTCGGGTGTGAGAGCTGGAGAGCCAAGACAGTAGTGCCTGGCGCAGCGTGCCGATGCCTCCGAAGACCGAGCACTGGCGACAAAGCCTGCTGGCTGATGTCGCTCGAGTGTGGCTTGATCGTAGACTGAAGTCGGACTGATGATGTCGGTTTGCGGCTGCTCCTTTTTATACACTGCTCGGTGGACGGAGCGAAACTTGAAATTGAGGAGGAAGAATTTGCAGGGCGCTGATTGGCTAGTGCGCGTGATGATGTAGTTGTTGGGCTAGCAGTGAGCGCAGTATAAATGTGAACGTTTGGAGCAATTTGATTGGTTAGCGCGCGTGGTGGTGAAAAGTGATGTGAAGAGTGTGCGTTGCAGAAAATGCATGATAATGTGGGATGTTCCCACAGTATTTCATGTTTCTTTATATGTTGTGGCCCCCTACATTTTATAGCCTTAATAATGCTAGATGCCTTCTAGAAATTAGGATGATGCTCATTGTGTGATTTTATGAAGTGTGCTCTTATTGCAACCATTTCTGGTGAGTGAGTGGGTGGAATCTCAGCACTTGGTTGGGGGGGGGGGTAGAGGGAAACCATGAAAAACCTTAATCTCCAAACCAAGATTTGAACCCAGGACCTTCTGAATATTAAACATAATTTTTAATGACTCAACAGCAACTTCAAGTGAGGAAGGAAGTTAGTAATACAGTTTAATATTACTAAATATAGAAAGAGATAGACCATGTAGGTAGAATTGGTGAAGACAAGGGGTCTACTATAACATGGAAAGAGGAACCTACAAGGTGATTCAAGCCTGTTAAGAAATGAAACTGAAAGCTTTTGAATATATAGCGCGTGCCATAGTTGAGAGACATGGAAAGATCAGTCACACCAGAGGTCAACAGAAAATAATGCACTTAGTGTATAAGTATCCATTTGTTAAAAGTTACTTTTTATTTTCTTTAAAAATATTCAGATAAAATACATGTTCATTTCAGAATGGCTTGATGTCTGGAGCACCATTCCTGTGCAGCTATGTTTCATCTGTCCTATTCTGTTATCTGGCAGATGTCCTTGTAAACAACAAGCTTCTCACCCTAACCAATGTTCGCAAGCTGTTTACTGCCATGTGTAAGTACTGTTCAGTTACTTAACTTGGTCTTTATATCTTAAAAACCATATGTGACAATAAAATAGTAATGCTTTCTACTCTGTTATGTATGTTGGCAAGCAATTACAAGTAGGAGCAGAATATTGCAGCATTAAACAGTAGTGGAAGTTGTTCTGAATCAGTATTTTGCTGTGTCTACCATGCCCAAGAAGAGTGTACCTTTAGATAGCAGCACTGTTTAGTGCATATTCTTGTTCTGTTAGATTTTGTAACTTGGTATAAGTGTAACTGTCTTTTGAGAACATTTCAAATTCACAGATTGCATATCTAATGAAATTGTGATTCCAAAGTGCGCCCTCAAGGGCATAATCCATAAGAGTGGAACACATGATTCAAGCAGAGTGCAAACATTTATGATGTCAATAACTGCTACATTTTCCTCGTGAATTTCCAATGGGCTTTTTGTTAGGTATATTATATTGGTGCATACAGACTAAAGTTCTTGATATGTCCAACAAAATCAAAATGTGGAGCCTCACTTCTACTTTGTTTTGTGATCCCCTGGCGAGGCCTTGTGAGGTCCATAAACAACACTTTGAGAACCACTGCATCAGCTTGTAACGTTATGAATTTTCATGTGTGCTCATCTTAAGGTAACTTAATTGTGTGTGTGAGGAGTTTTATACGTTAGCTGTTAGGAGCAGAAATACAATAGATGGGATGTTTGAGTCAGTATTGAAATGTGCATATATCTCTAGGTAGGAGTGCAACTTAGTGCAAATTGTTACTGTAGTAAGTTTAATATTTTTGGTACAGACAAAAGATTGTACAGCACAGAGATTATTTCTCAAGAAATTGTGTGTTCCAAATTATGTAATGATGTTGATAACCACAAGTTTCCTACTGAAATTTCAATTGTCTTGTGTAATATTATCCTTCAGTATTCCTCACCTAATAGAATGCAGGGCTGTGCATAATGTAGGAAAATAGGAATTTATATTCTCTTCTTTCATCTGTCATAGTAATACACTTTTACTTTAACTGTTAACCTCACTTGACTGTTGCAACACTGTGTGTACTTGTAAAACCAAATGTCACAATGTAGCAGTTCATATTTTGAGGTCCCTGCTTAGAATCTTCTCAAAGAGATCAGTGATCCTGAAACAGGGACAGGTGAGGAAGATTTTCATGTCCTTCAGTACAATGGCAGCATAAGCAGTGACCAGTCTCTCCACCATTCTTACCAACTCATTGAACAGACCGATGATAACAGCAGTGCTCAAGACTTACAAATTTTGGCTGGGTTACCAGCTGTTATAACTGAGGTTCTTGATAGTTTTCCTCAGTTTCTCCAACCAAATATTACAATAATACTTCAAAACGGAGAACATCCCCTGCATCTGAATTGTCTACCCACTCACCGGCCAAGATCCTGGATGTTTTATAACACTGACAGTTAATAAATCATCGATGTGTGACCATAGAATCATTCAGTCCACCCAACTCAATATTTATAATCATACGGTACTATATAACTTATGCAGCTGACACAGAATTGTTGAATAAATGAAGAAGAAACATGTCAGCAGCTGAAGCTTGAAAAGAAGCAGTACAAACCAATACATTTGCTACTTTTGTTCCAGCCCAGATTGTGCCTGGCCTCTTGGTGCTGGCTATTGGTTACTTGGGGTGCAACATCACACTAGTCCTTATTGCTTGGTTCTGCGCTGTCACCCTTATTACTGCTTCATATGCTGGTGCTATGGCCAGTGTTGTGGACATAGCTCCGAATCTTGCTGGTAAGGAAATGTGGTTTGCATAATGATGTCTGGCCTATTCTCATTTTGTAATGGAAGGTACTCTTTATGTTTAATATATCATGCCTGTGTACCTCCTAAAACTTTAGAATCCACTGAAACTTCATGAAACATCATATGGACATCATAACAGCTGTGACACCTTCATATGTTTTAATTTCTTAGCATTAGTGATACCAACGTGGTAAGTGGCAGTGTGTAAATTTTGTTAATGTACTATTTTTTATAGGGCATGCAGTAGTGTAGTTGCTTGAGGCACTATGCTACAGGCTGGAAGGTCACGTGTCCAAATCCTGATGAGGTCATTGGATTTTTTTTTTCAATTGACCTAATCCTTCCAGCAGCACTATGGCCTGGGGTCATCTCAGCCTCAAACAGAAATGAGTACCAGGAATATTCTTGGGGGTAAAGAGAGGCCAGTGCATAAGGCTGACAACCTTGCTGCCATCTGTGAACCAATTGTCTGGAAAATGTGGGAACCTCAACGTCTCACAACCCTATGGGCCCCCATGACCTGTTACAGGGATACCTTTACTTTTTTTTTTTTTTACTATTTTATATACAGTCACTTCTTGCTGTACATGAAGATTATTTACATGTTTTTGGAATTAAGCGGTTGTCATATTAACACTGTTTTTTAAATTTACATGAATCCTGCAGAATTATGTGGTTTAAAAAGGAAAAGAAAGCATGAAACCACTTAAACCTCACCCTCTACATTAGGCATCTCAAGAGCCAAACAGCTGGCCAGAAGTGAGAGGGCTCCACCATCATAACCTACTGGGTTGTCTGACCCATACCCCAACATATCCAGTACCACTAATGCCTGCAGTCCACCTTTGGCAGCGTTCAACTTAATGTTAGCAAAACCCTTTATTTAAAAATTATACTATTATTGGAGATAGGCTTTGTAATGTCTTTATTATTATCAGTAACAAATAAGCAAAATACTATAAGCACAGTTTAAAATTGCACATTGAAGGAAAAAGAAGTTTGAATACTGAGGCAGCATTTTCTCTAACCCCTACCATTTCTTTTATCTCTTAGGGGAAAATTGGTTTTGATTTGCACACCCATTTTCAAGAGCGCACATGTCACTATCTTTAGAAATGACTACAGTGTAAAATTACAATGCAGTAATAACAAAATTTACATTTATCATTCAGACTCACAGCAGTAAATAATAGACAAATAAATAATAGCTAGGGATGTGAAATTTTATGTGAATGGAGATCATAAATGCACCTACAGCTATGTATGTTTCATTTTTGTGTGTCAGCTATTCATGAGAATGCTGATGCGCATAAGTTTGACATTAAATCTGGCAACTTAACTTAGTCTGTATCTTCTACATCAAACCATGCAGAGAAATAGATCAGTATGTTGTATAATTAGTTATTTATTCTTGTTGATAGCTTTGCTCTACAGATTGAGTTAATTTTAAGACAGTAGAGATTGTAATTTTTCATGTTGTTTATTTAAAAATTTGGTCACTTTGTATAAACGTGAATTATCATGCTCGAACTTTGCTCACAAAGTACAGATATGTCCATTATAACTGTAACTTTCATTTTTACGTAGGTCCAATTCTAGCCTTTGCTCAGACAATTCACATGACTGCAAGTTTCCTCTCACCAATTGCTGCTGGAATTCTGTTACAAGAAAGTGTAAGTCTACAGCTTTTCTCACTCTCCCGGATTCACTATCATAATCTAATGCTGATCAGGCAAGTGCCTTATAAATTCATATTTTTATATGCCTAGACACTGATAATGATCTGAAGATGTGGTTTATAATTCCTACAATTTTGACAGAATTTGAAGTTTTTAAACTCGAGTCATTTTTAAAGAGGTTGGTCTAGAAGTAAACACAGAGAAAACTAAGTATATGTTACTGTCTCGTCGCCAAAATGCAGGGCAAAATCATGACATAAAGATAGGAAACATGTTTTGAAAATGTGGCGCAGTTCAGATATTTGGGAACAACGATAACAGATAGAAACCTGATTAAGGAGGAAATTAAGAGGCGAATGAACTCCAGAACCTTTTGTCTTCTTGTCTGTTGTCCAAAAACATAAAAATTAGAATATACAAAACTATAATTTTGCCTGTGGTTCTGTATGGGTGTGAAACTTGATCTTTGACATTAAGGGAGGAACATAGACTGAGGGTGTCTGAGAACAGGGTGTTGAGGAGAATATTTGGACCGAAGAGAGATGAAGTGACAGGAGGTTGGAGAAAACTGCATACTGAAGAGTTTCATAACTTGTACTCTTCTCCAAGTATAATTAGAATGATAAAGTCAAGGAGGATGAGGTTGGCAGGTCGTGTAGCACGAATGGGGGAGATGAGGAATGCGTATAGGATATTGGTGGGAAAGCCGGAAGGAAAGAGACCACAGGGAAGACCAAGGTATAGGTGGGTGGACAATATTATAATGGATCTTAGAGAGATAGAATGGGATGGTATGGATTGGATAGATCTGGCTCAGGATAGGGACCAGTGGAGGGCTCTTGTGAACACGGTGATGAACCTTTGGGTTCCATAAAATGCTGGGAAATTCTTGAGTAGCTGCAGAACTGGCGGCTCCTCCAGAAGGGCTCAGCTCCATGAGTAAGTAAGTATGTAAGTCATTTTTTTTTTACTTAATGCAATCTGTTATATCCAAAATACAGTAATAGTTGAGTGTCTGGCACCCCCAGGACCAAAAGATTGCTGGGTATAGTAATTTTCCTGATATTAATAAGTTATATGTAATGTGTGTGTGTCAGTGTACCTAGTAACTTCATGGACAGGCCTAACCATTTAATTTGTCACTTGATATCCCATCCTGTTCTATCTGCTGCACTTTCTGTTCCCTTTTTGTCATATAGTGTACATATAGCCTTAAAAATCCAAAGAGACTCCAGTATATCACTCTTTTAGTCTACATATTCACAGTCAGTTTCCAGTTAATAGAGGTTTTTGGATTATCCAGTGCTGAATATCACAGCTCTTACTTTAATTAAGAGAGATTAATTTGTTCCAGTATCCTGTTATTAAGGAATACTTACATCTGAGTTCTTGTAAAAAAAATAAACATAAAATTTCAGTCACAAAACCTAAAGAAATCAGAGCTTTTGGAAACACTAGATGCAGATACAACAATTATATTGAAGTGGATCTTAAACACATAGGGTGTGAGGGCATGGACAGGATTCAGTTTGCTCAGGATAGTCCAGTGGGGGGCTCTTATCAATGTAGTGATAACCTTAAGGATCCATAGTAGGTGGGGAATTCTTTGACAAGATGAGTGTTTATGTTTCTCAAGAATGCCTCTGCACCATAGCATCAGTGGGTAAATGTGTGAGTTGCAGAAACTAATCCCCTTTCCTTTTCACTCTTGCTCTTCTCTTGCTCCCTCTGTTATCCATTTGGCATAATTTACTTTGTCACATTGCCCTGTGTATAAATTTATGGAAATTGATATTCATACCTTATAGCAAACTCTGGAGCAGTGGCAGCAAGTATTTTGGTTGGCAGCGGTCATAAGCTGTGGCACATACATTTTCTTCCAAGTGTTTGGGACAGCAGATATTCAAGTCTGGAATTATCCCAACCAGAAGATTCCTGTCGACCTAATTCAGCCGCTGCAACCAGCGAACTGTAAGCAGAATGGAACAGCATTTAAGGAAAATGGTGAAGCAGCAGAAGACTGACCAATCACATGTATTGGCATGCACTTGAATTCCTGATGTGAACTGGCTTGTACTGTATGTCTTATAAAGACTGTTAAGCTTTGTATACTAAGACAAGGGATGGGAAGAGCCATAGGGGATGAAAGGAAGTGCCTTAATATAGGAACACAAAGTGTTATCTTCTTAGTTATGATTTAATAAAGATCCTATATTTTGGGGAGATTTGAGATTCTCATGACAGTAACTGTGATAAGTACTTATCTTCTGAAATGACATACTATCTAGTTTGATAGAAGCTTACTACTAACATTCCTCTGAAACTCTGGTAAACTTCTGCAAAACGACATAGTGTCATGTCCCAAAAGGTAGTACTCTTCCTCATCTATTGTTCCTTTATGCTCAGTTTTAATGTACTCACTATCAGTTTGAAATGGTGCCCTAACAGTTATAACTGGTGAGAGACGTGTGTTTTCATGAAAAATAATGTCCTGACAGTTTAATTCTCTGCTGTGCATAATGTGGTAAACCAGCTCTGCAGTGCAGAAATTCTCTTAAAAACTGGTAATTAGTTAGCCGGTCAAGAAATTCCTTGTTTTTATGAAACTTGGATGTTTACAGATTCTTCACAGAAGTCCACCATTGGACCCTATCCTGAGCCAGCTTAATCCAGTCCACATACTCGCATCCCAATCCACAAAGTTCCTTTTTTGGCCTATTTTCCTTATTTTTGGAAATTAAAGAAGACTTGTGAGATGACCTTGCTCTATTTTTTTAGCTTGCTTTCCTTATTTGTGAAAAGAAAAGAAGGCTTATGCAATCACAATGGTCTTCGTATTNCCCCCCCCCAGTGAACTTTTGAGTGGCCGAACCAATCTATATGAAACCTTGTATATACATCATGGCATTTGAACCCATCCCAATGGCATGCTTCATAAATCCCTCCAATCAGCCTGTGTGTTTTATGTGTTTATTCCCTCTATTGCTGTTAGGCAATGGCTGCGTAAAAACGTTACCACAGCAATGAATATGCATGCAGTAATACAAGAATCGTTGTACACATCATTTTGTATGTGTTCCATGTCATATCATGGCGATAAGTAGGTGATTACTTCATCCCAGAACTACTTCTTGTTATGAGATAAGTTTTGTATGCAACCTCTAATTTTCTCGTTTTCTATGCAGCCTGTGTCATGTCAAAAGGAAAGAGATGATTAGTTCTTTCCAGAACTCCTTGTTATATTATCCTCCCATCTATACATAGTTTTCCTTAGTGCTCTCTTACATGAATCTTCCTGGGGGTAAAGAGCGGCTGGTGCATAAGGCTGACAACCTCACCACCATCTGTGAGTCAGTTATCTAGAAAATGTGGAGCCTTGACATCTCACAACCCGATAGGCCTCCACTGCCTGTTACAGGGATAGCTTTACTTTATTTTTACCATCCTTGTGTATGCTGCACGTCTTGCTCACTGCACCCTCCTTGATTTGACCCCTCTAATAAAATAACTTGGTAAAATTTGTCTGTTTGCTGTGCTTAACATGTACATTGTAAGAAGGAACATTACATTAAATGGAATGATAGCTTCAGGATATACTGAATTTAAATGGCATGTAAAAGATGAAGTCAAAAATATGTAACTATTTTTATTTGTTACAGCTTGTACTGTAAGGTTTTATGGCAATAAAATGACATCTAATAGAGAAAAGACGGCAGTTCTGTGATTTGGACTAAGATGGCATGTGTTGATCATGCAGTAGCAAGGGTTTTATTATGTGGTAAGGGTGAAATCAGTTAGTGTTAGACAATCTTTGGTGTAGCTGATACCAAACTGAATGACGTGTGATTACGGCTGTCTGTGGATGTGGTGGGCAGTGTGCTGTCACAAACTAAAATGACTACTCGTTTTTAATGGATATTTATTTATGAGAAGATATATATTAAATCGATAGGTTGATTGGTTGATTGATTGATGCACTGATAACTGCAAGCACAGGCCTTTAAGGGCCATTTGTCTAGTTTTGTGTTCTTTGCAGGAGCCTGATCTTGTTTTGCTGCCCCCACATCTTCCTTGTAGCAGCAAGTTGAAGGGATAGTAGCGAGTCTGACTGGTTAGCGCAGCCATGATGCGTGCACTGGCAGAGTAGGCTGTCTATGGCACATGCACTAGCAGAGTCAGTGCAGTGCTTGCAGTTGCGTTGAGCTCTTGCTGGCAGTGTATCCGAAACTGGTGCTGGCGTGCCTGAGGCCCGCAACTTTATACTGATGCCGCTAGGTGGTGCACAGACCAGTTGGCGATGGAGCTGCGATTATGGGCACTGATTGGATAGTGCTTGTGTTGGTGTCTAGAGAGCCAGGCTGCAAATTACGATGTATAAATATTGCCTCATCCTGTTACGTTGTGGGAGTTGTCAGACTGGTGAAATTGTGTGTTAGAATGTGGGAGGTTCCCACATAACCCCCCGCCACAGAGATGGTTGCTCAGATGTTGAAGCGAGCAGGAAAATGGATGTTGTGGCCGGAGTGTGCAGTTCTTGTGGCAGTCTGTGACTGCGTGGCAGGTGTTGCCACGGTCGGGGTTGTGTTGACTGGTGGGTTGAAGTTGTTGCTTCCATCATCAGTCCCACTGAGGAAGTAGGCCAGCTTTACCCTGTCATTTGACACCGTGACGGGTCTCCTGTGCATAAGGAGTTGCATTTTCTTCTCCCTCCATGATAGGACCTGGTGGGTGCCGCAGTAGGGGGGCTCTAAAGCTTGGCGTGTTGCATCCTGATGGAGGAAGACGTGGGTGCACTTCTCGAGGTCTCTATATATGAATGTAACCGGGGAGGTGTAACATGCTGCCAGAAGTGGTCTGAGGTGGGCCATGTGCTGGCGGAGCTTGGTGATGAGATGTGCTGGGTCCGCTGGGTCGGCAGCTGGAGCTAGTAGCTCACCATACACAAGCTCAGCTACTGATGCTTGCACGTCCTCTTTGAATGCCGTGTCGATTCCAAGGAGAATGAGGGGAAGCGTCTGAGTCCACTGATGGTCTGCGAGGCACATGATGACTGTCTTCAGTGTCTGGTGGAAACATTCCATGAGTCTGTTATCTGCGGGGTGGTGGGCAATTGTATGTGAGAGCTGGATGCCACACAGTCTGACCAGGGATTAGAAAAGCTGAGATTCGAACTGACATACCTGGTCGGTGGTGATGGCCTGTGGGCAACCGAAGCGGGATATCCAGCTGGTCAGTAGGGCACGTGCCAATGTTGGCTGTGATGTCTGGTATGGCGACGACTTCTGGCCAGCAGGTGAAATGGTCAACTGCAGTCAGGCAGTATGTGTAGCCTGCTGATGATGGAAGGGGTCCAGTGAGGTCTTCTGAGTGGTCAGTTCCCAATGCAGTATCCACCTCATCTACATTCACTTCAGATGCTAGTTTGATTTGGCGTTCTTTGAGTTTATCAATAATAGCGTCCAATGTGACTTTCATTGGCACAGAAAGTTGGGAGTTGTCACCCCTGAAACCGGCATAGGCTCTTAGTGGCTCTTCTCCTAAGACTATCAATGCACCCACACAAAAATAAAGCAGATTTTTTATTGAAGAAAGCAGTCTTCTGGGATTTGGCACCGTGTATATGTGGTGGTAACTGACGTTTCGGAGGAACGTATCGCCTCCATCTTCAGGGTAGAAGGAAAAATATAAGAAATCCGCAAGAGCTTTTACCGGTTCTCACGGTCTCTTTGCTTGTGGATTTCTTATATTTTCCTTCTATCCTGAAGATGGAGGCGATACGTTCCTCCGAAACGTCGGTTAACACCACGTATACACGGTGCCAAATCCCAGAAGACTGCTTTCTTCATAGTCACCGTCGTGAAAGCCTCAAATCTTACAGATTTTTTATTTCTTGTGAAATTCCTCCATATTTGATTCCAGCAAAAATGCCATATTGAACTTCTTTGACAAACTGGTAAGCAAGTTTTAGTTTGGATGACAATACAAGGAATTTGTTGAGAAGCTGTTCCCAAAGAATTCCAGATTGCTTGGAGATGGCTCATCCGATAACCTGGAGAGGAGTGAGACCTTTGAAATCAACTTGACTGCTGACTGCAGTCAGTTGTGGAACATGATTATAAGCTTGATCTGTCACACTCCTTAATTTCTGTGAAAGTTTGTCTGGATCCAACCCATCCTTGACTTTGGCATCAGTAAGGTTACTCAACTCACGTACTGAAGATTCTGATTAAGATGAAAGTAGTGAATTGCCCTGGAGTAATTGTCTTTGAATATCACCAACTCTTCTGTTCCAGTTCTGTGACCTAAAGTTGGATGATCTTGAGAGGGAAAAGGAGAGCAAGAAGAATAGCCCTTTATAACAATTTGAGATATCATCAGAACTTAGGGCAGTAGAAAAAAAAATATCTCCAGCCTTGAACAGAAGAGGTGTGAGTTGACATTTGATGATAATTCTATTAAGACCATGGTAAAATCCTTCAACTTGTGTATCAGTAACAGCGAAGACTGGGCGGTGGTTCCTGGAGTCAGGACGGGGAACCATGGAGTTGGGACTTGGGTCTCTGGAGCAGAGTCATGGGTCCCTGAGACTGGTGTGGAGACAGCCCTGCTTGGTGCTGAGTCCAGCCACCTGGCGGGAGAGGTCCTTGATCCCCTGCAGAAGTGCAGTGTTGTCTGCGGGTGGGCCAATGCTAGCAAGTGTTGGCTGGTATGGGACCTTGGAGATGCAATCCGCACAGCAGGCTGTGGTGTCCAAGCTGCTCTCAGGTTGGCCGACGAGAATGGCCTGCAAGTTGGAGGCAGCCAGCTGGACCTGATGGTCTGGAGAAGTCTTCTGGTAGGTCTGGGGTGAGGTTCCTGAGGAGTCTCAGAAACTGGGATGGCTTACAGTTGCCCATCTTGAGTGTAAGGAACTGGCCGGTATGTGGTTCTCTCGAGTGGGACAACCACCTTATCAGCTCTGTTCTCAGCATGGTGTAGTGGTCTCTTTCAGGCAGAGAGGTGATAATGTCTTATAGTTCTGTGGTGTAACGCTGGTCCAGTTGTGAGATGATGTGGTAGAACTTTGTAATCTCGCTGCTGATGCTAGCCAAGAAGAACTGTGCGTTGGCCTAGGCGAATCACATAGCTGACCACTCGACTCAGAACAGCAGGAGCCACATTGCCACTCGGGATACCACCGTTGATAGCAAACTGTGTGCAGCCTCCATGCTCCGTCGGGGTCACCAATGTGGGGTGTCGTCTATACTTGCTGGTACAAACATGTAACTATCACAATAAAAGTTCACTGCACTTAAAGCGGGGAGCGTGCCTGAGTAATGTCGGGAGAGACTCCTTTGGTAGTGGCTAGTACGGTCCGGTGATGAAGGTGCCAAGTGCAGGCTTTTAAGGGCCGTTTGTCTAGCTGCGTCTTTGCAGGAGCCCAATGTTCTTTTGCAGCCCTAGCATCTTCCTTGTAGCAGCCCGGTGTTCTTCCTTGCTGCTGCTCGGCAATTGCGAGTTGAGGGGGTAGTAGTGAGCATAGTGAGTCTGGCTAGCAGAGCCACAGTGTGTGCGCCGGCAGAGTAAACTGTCTATGGCAAGTGCGCTGACAGAATCGGTGAAGTGCTTGCAGTTTTGTTGAGCTCTTGCTGGCAGTGTATCTGTAATTGGTGCTGGTGTATTCCAAGGCCCGCATCTTTATACTTACACCTCTAGGCAGCATGAGAACCACTTGGCAATGAAGCTGCGATTATGGGCGCTGGTTGGATAACGCTTGTGTTGGTGTCTAGAGAGCCAGACTGCAAAATGCCATGTGTAAACATCACCTCGTCCTGTTATGGTGTGGGAGTCATCTGTTAGACTGGTGAAGTTAGAATGTGGGAAGTTCCCACAACACTCTAGTAAATGTTAGCAATACATTGCATGAGAGTGAAGTTTCCCAATATGCATCCTTTTAGCCATTTCACTTCACTCACTCAAGGAGCTGAGCCCTTCTTGAGAAGCTGCCAATTGTGCAGTTACTCCAGGACTTCCCAGCATTTTATGGAACCAAAAAGTGTATCACTGTGTTCACAAGAGCCCTCCACTTATCTCCATCCTGACCCAGATCAATCCAGTCCGTACCACTCCATCCATTTTCTCTAAAATCCATTTCAGTATTATCTGCCCACCTAGTCTTGGTCTTCCTAGTGGTCTCTTTCCTTTTGGCTTTTTCACTAAAACCCTGAATGCATTCCTTTTCTCCCCATTCATTCTACAAGCCTTGCCAATCGCATCGTCCATGACTTGATAATTCTAATTATACTTGGTAAAGAGTACAAGTAACAAAGCTCCTCATGCAGTTTTCTGCAACCTCTCATCTCGTCATCTCTTTTCAGTCCAAATATTCTCCTCAGCACCCTGTTTTCAAACACCCTCAGTCTATGTTTCTCACTTAATGTCAGAGACCAAATTTCATGACCATACAGAACCACAGGCAAAATTGTAATTTTGTTCTGTTCTAATATTTATGTTTTTAGACAGCAGTCGAGATGACAAAAGATTCTTGACAGAATGGTAGCAAGCATTACCTGAATTCAGTCTCCTCTTAATTTCCTCCTGAATCAGGTTTTGATTTGTTATAGTAGTTCCGAAGTATCTGAACTGTGCGACATTTTCAAAACATCTGTTAGCTATCTTTATGTCATAATTTCCCTTAGTGTGAAAAACTTTTAAACTCTACCCACCATCGTGTTGTAATTAAATATGTCTGACACTTCAAGGGGGCCATTGCTGCTGTTGCAGTGAATTTGTTGAAGTAGAAGTTTGACTTTTTTCCCTGAATGTCCCATATATGGAACAATGACTTTTTTTTTGTGTTTAGGCACTTGCTTTAATTCCCTTGATGCCTTCCACACCTTATTATAGAATATACAAATTATGAATGTATTTCTTCACCATGACATAAAAGCCCACTTTTGTTCTCTTAATGTCTGAAGTAGTGGGCAATAGAAGTTCTTTCAGTACTTACATATGTAGATTCTGTGTAAATCTTCGTTTTTAAGAACTTTAATCCTGTTATATTTATGATAATATATAACAATTTTATCAAGATATGATCTGTAGAAGTTGGCACTGCAAGGCTAGTGGATGCTTGGAGTTTCCGTATTTGAACTTGTTGATTACTTGTATGGTTTAGTTAATAAATTCATGTCTGTGATGCTGAAGGAGAGTATTTCTTTCCACAGTGTCTACTAAAAGTCTATAGGATTTACCTTGTACATTGTAACTGTACATCTGGGCAGAAGATCTGTCTGTAGCATATTGGAAGTGTTTGGCAAACTATGGCCCATGGGCCAGGGGTGGCCCATCAGAAATTAAGTGCAGCCCATGGTGACACTCAGATATCAGTAATATAGTCCTTTGGTATTTTTTTTACTTCTCACGCAAATACTAGATAAGGTATTTTAAACATGTAATAAATGAAATAGCGGTCCATTCCAGAATCATTTTGATGCATGTCTCAGCACCCTGAACATCATTCAGAATTTGGAATAAATCCAAATTAAGTATTAATAATGTTATTTTAAATAATTTTATATATATATAAGCAATTGGTGTACAAAATTGACAGCTATTTAATGAATCTCTATTGGAAATCTGCCCACTTCTGCCCTAGACCAACACTAATTGAAAGACTCTGAGGAAAAAGGATATAGTTTTAGTTATATGAGTGTATATTAAAATATGATATAGAAATTTGTGTTGAAACCACATCCTTCATGTGACTACCAGAACCTGTGGTGTGAATTTCTAAATCAGACATTTTAGCCTATATTTTTTAGTACAGCCTTCTTGTATGAAAACTGTCAGTTCTTTTTACAAAGAGAGAGTGTGAATTTTATTATATTTAGCTTCCTTGAAGTATGTATATGTCATTCTCATGATTATATCCACCCAATATATGCATTCCTTCTGTTTATATTTATTGGAATTTGATGAGTGTCAAGTGATAAGTGCTAATGCAAGAGGTTTGTTTCTATTTACTCATGAATTGTGTTGTTATATAAAGTAAGATACTGTACCTCTGAAACTTGAGCTCCTATTTCAGTTATATAAATATGATACCGTTTTCATGTTTGGTGCTTCAAAGAATTGTGATATTTGGATGACAGTTAATGTTACACTACTACGTAATTAAGATATAAAATGTAGCAAGTGATATTCCACTTATGTTATATATAGTACAAGTGAATAAATGAATAAAGTATTATGGCAGGGGATGTGAAGACTAACTCAGGTATATTCCTATGCAAAGGCTGAGCATTTTAAAGAACGACTGTGGTTTATTAGTACTTAAGACATTTGCTTAAGTTAGTTGAATCTTTCATGTATCATAAGTATACTGTGTTAATTTTCAGTCATGTACCAGTATAGTTAAACTCATACCAGATTCATACATGCATGTGTAACGAGTTTGGTTACCAAACACTTCTGCAGCATTAGGTGATACCAGT